TCTTTTCATCTAGAGTTCCAGCGCTCCTCTGCTTACAATTTAAAATGTAAATCACTGCGCCGCAAGCCATCTCTTAGGCTTTTCGCCTTTTTTCTTTTGTACTTAAATTTGAACCTTCAAAACATCTAAACCGGTTAAAGCCGGATTCATAATATATTTTAAAGTTTTCTTTTGTCCTTTGCGAGTTATTTTCGCCACGCATCATGTTTTGAAATCACGAATTACTGGACAAACTATTTATATCAATCCGAAAACGAGGCCACAGTTTTACACAAATGGGGGTCACAAAAAGTACGTGCGGAAACAGTCAACAGACCCGAGTTTTTTTTCTCGACTATTTATAGACTATATATGACAATTTATATTCACTGGCAAGGTTTTTAAAACACTTTATGGTCGTAGACTTAGAGGCGAACTATCAATGTTATGCTTCCCTCCCCCCCCCCCCCCCACCACCACCATTCAAACTTTGTTATCCAAGTTGACGAAGAAAGTGTACCCCCCCCCCCCCCCCCACACACACACCAATTCAGGAAATAAATCTGTAAGGCCATGCAGCATTCTATCCTAATATATAAAAGACCATGTGCGCACTTCTCTCTCTCTCTCTCTCTCTCTCTCTCTCTCTCTCTCTGTCCGCAAAATATTTTCGCCGGATATCACATCGGAATCGGCAGCGATATTTGGAGAACTTGATACAGACTTTTGTTGAAAATAATATGTTAGATGTTTCAAATGTATAACCACAATTTTATTTAAAGAAGAAAAATAGAAAATAAAGGCATATTCGAATGTAGAAAAACAGTTTTAATTATGCAACAGGAAAGGCGTTTATAGTTGTGAAAAAGAATGTATAAAACAGTGACGTCTCTAATGTTTATACATTAACTAATAACGTCATCTGCCGTGTTTAAAATAAAAAGAAAAGAACTATTTCATTCAAATATTATTTAGATCTACGTACGCTATAAAATTTATACAATATAATTTTGCTCGAGCTAAACTTAAAAATAAAATTCTTTTAGGATTCTAGATCTAGATATTATAGATCTAGATCTAGATGATCTAGATCTACGGAAAAACTAGACTTATACAGATGTAGACCCTACCTAGATCTAGAATCTATTCAAATAATACATTTCTATACTAAAGTATTTCAGGCCTTAATTACTTTATTGAAATCTTTTTTTATCTATACAATTTGCTAATCTCTATAATATATAAAGCAAAGTTGTGGGTGTCCGATACGCACTTCTCGGCGCCGCAGGCGCTTCAAATTTGGCAGGATCTTGCTTTGGGGCGACAGAACACGGGGGCCGGTTGGCCGAAAAGTCTACGATGAGGGGGTCAAAACTGACCTCCACTGACCGGCGTCTTATATGAGTTATAAATCGAAAAAAAAATGTCCACGTAGGAACCTCTTCATAACTCCTGAGGTCGTAGACCGACCGTCGGGCGAATTAATTAAGCATTCAAATTCTCAATGTTTTCGAAATCCTAAGCGAAGCTGGGCAGCATGCCTAGTTTTCTTATATTTGACTGTGCAGAATGAGCTTTTTATTTTTTTTCCATTCCGTTTGGCTCCCCCCCCCCCCCACCCCCTTTGGGTAGGCGCCCTCATCTAGCTACGCCTCTGCATAGACTTTCAGAACTCATGTCGCTAGTTTGGTCTAGAAAAACTTGACTCATATCAGAAATCTTCAGCAGTCAATTCAATTCGTGCGTAAAGCTGTAAATTTTTAGTTAATTTGTTTAATTAATTTTAACAGCTTCACCTCCACTCCCCTCCTTTTACCCTTGTTGCCCCTAACCCCGCCCCCGATCATCCCATGGTTGAGGAAAGCATGAAAATATATCTATATATATAATTCTCTTCTTGGAGACGATAGAAAACACCAAGCTGTAAGCGCGCTCCCTGCCACCCCCACCCCTACATGGTCTGGTGAGCTGTGGTTCACGCTAAATTTTTACAATCGTAGAGCCAGGTTTAGTGACGGCTAATAGGGGCAGATAATTTAGTTTGAAACTGTTTTAAACTTAGGGGAGGTAACTAAGAGGAGACTGTTTTCACGGGGGGGGGGGAGGTAGGGGTTGGGGAAAGGAGGGGTGGGGGGTATCGTCCTTAACGAGCTACTGACAGTGTTTTAAAGCAAATATATTCAGTGGCAGCATTGGTACTGTCGAATTCACAAATTATGAATTTCTGAAAAGTAGAAAATAAAACAGCTAAATAGCGGCATATGATACGCCGCGGGTCGGCTCGTATTATAAATTGAGAAGCCTGGAGTAACTAATTAATTTGGGTATAAACAAAGTCACAATAACAAAGAAAGGTGTATTTTAGAAATGATCAAACTACGCGAAACTGAACATATGAAGTAGAGTTTATCTGTTTCTGTAATCTCTGTATTTGAATGTTTAAAGTTGTCAGCACTATCCCAGCAGCATTTGTGTTGATGAAGTAGAGTTTATCTCTTTCTGTTAGCTCAGCTTATGAATGTGTTAGGCGGTCCGCATTATTCCAGCAACATTGTCTCAAGAGTCGAACAATCCTGTTCCCTTCCTCTCAACCAGACTGTTCCATAGTTTAATAACAAAACCCACTAATCTCGTTATCCTATAATTATTGCTTATTTAATGCCTTGTGTGAATCTACCATTGACGACCCCTCTACAAAAAAAAAAAAAATTACCCAAAAAATGTTTTATGTATGATCTGAGCTGAACTACATCCGCTTCGATTCTGGTTTCATACATTCTTTTTATATTATAATTATAGCAACCGTTAACCCGAAAGTCTGAGGTTCGAATCCCAGTAGACATCCAAACTCGACACAATATTCACGTCAAGGAAAGCTAAGGTGGTTGAGCAAAGAACTAACCACGCTATTCCTTTGGGGTCATCCATAAATGAAGTCACGCTTTTTTGACGATTTTTACCTCCCCCCTCCCCTCCGTCACACGTCGTCACAAAAAGCCAGACCCCCCCTAAAATGACGTCACACCTCAGCCTGCAACCCTTCTCAAAATTGCTGTTGAATTTTTCTTATAACATCGATATTTTTCCAAAATCAAGTCTGAACTCTGTCAATAGAGTATTTTGATCAATTCCTATTACAATTTATTAAAACCGTTTTCTAAACCGCGAAATAACGACTAAAACTCGTATTTTAACATTGCTTTTTTATAATGCAAAAAAGTGACGTCCTACCATCTGAACCCCCCCCCCTCCCCCTCATCACACACCGTCACAAAATTACGGACCCCCCTCCCCCCTACGAGTGTGACGTCATTTATGGTCGACCCCTTTTTCTATAAAGGTCAGTGGAACCGATGGCTTGTGTCTTTGACGCCACCGGAAAAAATGTTGATTCAATTTTTTTTTTCAAATAAAACAACCCTAATATAAAACTTGGGCTGTGTGTTACTATATCCAACGTTTAAAAAAAAAAAGGATTTCCTCTAAAAATAGAGTTGTCACGTGACCCACTCATCTTGTTTACCAGCTAGGGAGTGGAGATCTTCCTAACGATGTTCACTTCCGGTTCTCCAGGACTGCTGCCAGAAATCGATTCCTGAAAATCAGCAGAAATTGAAAGCAAAAATAACGATTCGATTACTTGCAACATTAACCGTTGGACCGACCGCATCTAAAGTCGTGTTGATGATTGGACGGTGAAATCGATAAATAAGAACACGTGACCATAATCTATTTATAAGTTTACTTCTGAACTGCGTATGTTGGTGTAAAAAACGAATGGTAGCATGGAAAGTAGGCCTATGCTTTAAAATGTGTGCATTGTAAGTTACGAAATGGATTGTTGTTTTTACTTTGGAGGAAAGTAGTCTTGATCCATAGGCTGTTCAATGTTGCAATTGTATGTATATTTCATAGGATAAGAAAAAACATTGAACTGATGCATAACTTCAAACATACACAAAAACACGTTAATCTTGGTAAATCGTCATCTTTTCCCGTTCGTGCCCATAACACAGGGAGCAGTAGAGTTCATATTGATCAATAGAGTTGTGAAAAACCAACAGTAGTTTTTTTCAATTATTTTCCTCCAGGAGAATAGGGTGTGGGGGGGGGGGGGGGGGGGGGGGGGCACTTGATTTGGTTGAGGCGGACGCTGATTGATGTACACATTGTCTATTTAGATTATTGTTATTCTCGTGCGGGGCAGTGCTCAAAAGCAGCTTTTGCTATATATATATATATATATATATATATATATATATATATATATATATATATATATATATATATATATATATATATATATATGTATATATATGTATATATGTGTGTGTGTGTGTGTGTGTGTGTGTGTGTGTGTGTGTGTGTGTGTGTGTGTGTGTGTGTGTGTGTGTGTGTGTGTGTGTGTGTGTGTGTGTGTGTGTGTGTGTGTGTGTGTGTTTATATATGGGACGTGACGATGAGCAGCATAGATATACACAAAATATTTATTACTTTATGTACAGGTAATATGTATAGATAAATTGCATATAGATATGTTGCATATATCGCTCCACCCCAGCCCCTAAATGTCCTCTACAGTAGCGAGTTTATTGACTCGAGACACTAAACTTTACGACCTGCTAGACGTCACGTTTACAATACTTAGTGGCGCTAACCTCTGTCGAAATGTTGAACTAGAGGAGAGACTGGTTGACGAAGTGGGTGGGTAGGGGGAGCGTTATTATGTCAAGGGGGTGGAGGGGGGTGTCTGGTTTAGAGGTGTTATGTGCAGGGGTGGGTAGGGACTTGTGTGGAGGGGTGGGTAGGGTTCAGATTACAAATGGTTAGGGGTGGGTTGGGTTTAGGTAAAAAGATTAAAAAGGGGTGGGTAGGGACTGGTTATAATATAGAATTAAGTTTTTATACGAGAGGGGTGGGTATACGTTAAGACGTATATATTGGGTAGGGTGGGTGGATGAAGTAGGGGTGTTGGAATAAAAAATTTAAAAAAAATCATGACACCGTGTTGGCGAACTACGACGTCTGCTGTGCTGGGTCTTTCGCTGACAGCCACACGAGGGCTCCTGGTTTTATTTTTTTGTTTACTGGAATAAATGTCACCGCGGTGAGTTCTGGCAGCTAGCAGAGACAATGACGATGTGGTGGCATCTAGCGGCGGTCACTCTGCTGGTGACCTTTGCTGCTCTGAGTGAGTAATTCATTTTTTTTTTGTAAAGTACAAGCCTCAAGGCTGGTATTGTTGCTTTTTTTTTTTTAATTTTCTATATTTATTTACAAAGAACTGGCAGTATGTTTACTTTTTTTATTCACGAAAAACGCCCATTTTTATTTCATTTTTATTAATATGAAGGTAATAAAAATATTTTTTTATATAAATTTCGTTTGTTTATTTACAAACAAATGGCATTTTACTTATGTTATTTATTTAGCGAAAAATGTACAATTATTTTCATATTAATCTGAAATTAAATATAAATTCTTTGTTTATAATTTTGTTTATTTATATACAAACGCAATGGCAGTCTATTTATTTTATTTATTATGCATTCGTGAAAAACGCTCAGTTTTATTTAGTTACTAGCCGTCCCGGCCAGGCCCTGCTCTGGCTTCTGTGAAAAACCTTTCTGTTAAAGACCATTACCTGTGTGTTTAGTAATCATCATAAACCCGGCATTGCACACCCAAACCAAAACCAAAACAACAAAACGCAAACATAACACTAACACAATTACAAATACAAACGAAAACAAAAACCTAACAACTAACCCAACCACAACCACAAACACCAATACGAACACAAAGAAAAAAACAAACGAAAAAGCAACGAAAACAAACCAAATCCAAATGCAAAACCAACCACAAACACAAATACAAACACAAACGCAAAGAAAATAAAACACAAACGAAAACGAAAAAAGAAAGAACAAAAACGAACCAAATCAAAACGCAACCACTAACGCAAACCCAACCTAAACACAAAGAAAACACAAACGCGAACATAAACGCACAGTGCTCAGAGTCTAGCCCGGGCGGAATCGCCTGTTTCAGCTTAATAAACGACTATAGTACCCCAACTTATTCATAGTCTTTTGCACTCACTTTAATGAACGTAGGCGCGAAACCGAACACGGGATGCCCGGGACCCCAAAAAGCAACCTGTCTGGGCGCCAGAGGACGCATCATGACGTCACCGCCTGATTGAACTTAGTAAACGCCTATAGTGCATAACTTATTCATAGTCTTTTTAACTCACGCGAACGTAGATACCATAGCGTACACCGGAAGGTCCGGGGCGCCAAATAGCACCCTGTCGGGGTGCCGGAGGACGCCCGGATTTGATTCACTAAAGACTATAGTAACCTTTCTTATCCATAGTCTATCGCACTGTTCAAAACAAAATTATGCAGCATAGCGCTCACATGACAGCCCAGGGTGCCAAATCGAACCGTGCAGGGGCGCCGGCGGACGCGCCTGTTTCAATTTAGTGAACAAAAATGATAATACTCCAAGCTTATCCGTAAATGGAAAGAAATAAACGTATAGGATTTGTAGGACCTGGCTTATTAAATGTTATTGATTTAAAAAAAATAATAATTATTGAACAGTATGTTCAGTGTATAGAATAAATAAAAGGCAGTGTTAAAAATACCTAACGACATTGCACTTAATCAATCCCCGCTAATTATGTAATTTTTTTTTTCTTAACACCAAAAACAAAGTAATAAAATGTAAATTCTTTCTTCTTAAGAATTTTTTTTATTAAAGGGAAGTAACTGTGCAGTCAATACATTTCCGACACAATTTTAGAAATTTTATAAACGTCGATACACTTTTTAAAAATTTTATGTCGCGTTCATAATTGAAAATTATTCTTCTAAGTAAATAGAGTGAAAATTGTTTTTAAAGACTTTCAATGGTAATTTTTTGACTGGTAAATTTAGACTATGAGCACGATAAAAAATCTAACACTTAAATCCATAGAACTGTCAACGACAAACTTTTTTTTTGCCACACGTTACAGAACTGAGCTTTATATATTAGATTATTCACTAATTAAAATACATGTCAACATAGTTTAAATCGTGTGGATATACATATGTTTAAAACAATTCTTACAAACTACACTAGCTAGATGTGTCAGTTTTTATGCGATATTACATTTTACTTTACATTTTGACAGTAATAACACAGGTATGTATAGGTATGTATAATCAATTCTGTAGATGGTTAAAAAAATTATGTTTTTAAAAACACAAATTTTGAAAAGAAATTCAAAAATTTGTCAGAGTGAAAAACTTACGGCCATTTAGTGCGAATCATTACAATAGTTTTAATGTTGGAATTTTAATGAAGTAGTACTGTCAAATTAACATTGTTTTAGCTTATAAGGGAAGTCAAACCTGTTTTAGTATGTATGGATAGTGGCCAAATATAAAGGTTTACGTTGATTAGAAATAGAATTTGTTTAATTTTTGTGATAATCTTATCCTAATTAATTCGATTATTTAATTGCAATAGTTTTGGCATGAGTTTCAGTTAATTATAAGCTTGGTGTGTGTAGGATATATCCTGGTTTGAGGCAGAGTCGTAGTGACACATTCCAGCGCCCGGGGCGAACTATCATTCGGCGCCCCCACCCCCACCCCACCCCATATGATTTTTATACATTTATTCGAATTATTTTTTTACTAGTTACTGTACAGTTAAAAAAGGTGGTGTTACTTAATAGATGTAGAAAACAGCAAAATCAGTTTGTTAAGCCCAGTACTGGTCCATTTTCTTAAATTTGACTGTGTATAATTCAAAAGTAGCCTACAGCTTAGAATAACTTTTTAAATGTTTTTTATATTCCCCATTTGGTGCACTCTTTGGGTCATCGCAACACAACAGTAACATTAATAATTACATCACACCACATCAACGTATGGCTCGTAATTTAGTGTATAGACCTGTATAAACCACTGACTTATTTCCCTTTACAACGCCCCAACAGCCAATGGCCACAATACTCCCTGTAACGTTGGCAACGACACCTATTGTTTACAAGGTGTTCGAGACTTCCTAACAAGAACAACCTGGTGGTTCGGTGCTAATTACAGGTTTGTTTTATATACAACTCTTTATTGTTTTTACATTTAACTTGTTTTAACGTCGTATTAATTATATATATGCCAACAAAACTTCACAAAATATTCACAGATTTGACTGTCCTGATTATAAAAACTTCACAAAATATTTGCTAACTGTTCTGACTATTAAAACTAAAAACTTTTCACAGTTCTCGCTGTCCTGATTATAAAAACTTCATAGATTTAACTGTCCTGGTTATACAAAACTTCACACAATATTCACAGTGCTGGCTGTCCTGATTGTAAAAAACCTTCACAAAATATTCACTGTGCTAGCTGTCCAACTTATAAAATCATCACAACATATTCACAGTGCTAGCTGTCCTTATAAAAACCTTCACAAAATATTCACAGTGCTAGCTGTCCTTCTTATAAGACCTTCACAAAATATTCACAGTGCTGGCTGTCCTTATAAATACCTTCACAAAATATTCACAGTGCTAGCTGTCCTTATAAAAACCTTCACAAAATATTCACAGTGCTAGCTGTCCTTCTTATAAAACCTTCACAACATATTCACAGCGCTGGCTGTCCTAATTATACAAAACTTCACAAAATATTCACAGTGCTGGCTGTCCTTATAAAACCTTCACAAAATATTCACAGTGCTGGCTGTCCTGATTGTAAAAAACCTTCACAAAATATTCACTGTGCTAGCTGTCCAACTTATAAAATCATCACAACATATTCACAGTGCTAGCTGTCCTTATAAAAACCTTCACAAAATATTCACAGTGCTGGCTGTCCTTATAAAAACCTTCACAAAATATTCACTGTGCTAGCTGTCCTTATAAAACCTTCACAAAATATTCACAGTGCTGGCTGTCCTGATTGTAAAAAACCTTCACAAAATATTCACTGTGCTAGCTGTCCAACTTATAAAATCATCACAACATATTCACAGTGCTAGCTGTCCTTATAAAAACCTTCACAAAATATTCACAGTGCTGGCTGTCCTTATAAAAACCTTCACAAAATATTCACAGTGCTAGCTGTCCTTATAAAACCTTCACAAAATATTCACAGCGCTGGCTGTCCTAATTATACAAAACTTCACAAAATATTCACAGTGCTGGCTGTCCTTATAAAAACCTTCACAAAATATTCACAGTGCTGGCTGTCCTTATAAAAACCTTCACAAAATATTCACAGCGCTGGCTGTCCTTATAAAACCTTCACAAAATATTCACAGTGCTGGCTGTCCTTATAAAAACCTTCACAAAATATTCACAGCGCTGGCTGTCCTAATTATACAAAACTTCACAAAATATTCACAGTGCTGGCTGTCCTTATAAAACCTTCACAAAATATTCACAGTGCTAGCTGTCCTTCTTATAAAACCTTCACAAAATATTCACAGTGCTGGCTGTCCTAATTATACAAAACTTCACAAAATATTCACAGTGCTGGCTGTCCTTATGAAAACCTTCACAAAATATTCACAGTGCTGGCTGTCCTTATAAAACCTTCACAAAATATTCACAGTGCTGGCTGTCCTTCTTATAAAACCTTCACAAAATATATCACAGTGCTAGCTGTCCTTCTTATAAAACCTTCACAAAATATTCACAATGCTGGCTGTCCTTATAAAAACCTTCACAAAATATTCACAGTGCTGGCTGTCCTGATTGTAAAAAACCTTCACAAAATATTCACTGTGCTAGCTGTCCAACTTATAAAATCATCACAACATATTCACAGTGCTAGCTGTCCTTATAAAAACCTTCACAAAATATTCACAGTGCTGGCTGTCCTTATAAAAACCTTCACAAAATATTCAATGTGCTAGCTGTCCTTCTTATAAAACCTTCACAAAATATTCACAGTGCTGGCTGTCCTTATAAAAACCTTCACAAAATATTCACAGTGCTAGCTGTCCTTCTTATAAAACCTTCACAAAATATTCACAGTGCTGGCTGTCCTTATAAAAACCTTCACAAAATATTCACAGTGCTAGCTGTCCTTCTTATAAAACCTTCACAAAATATTCATAGTGCTGGCTGTCCTTATAAAAACTTCACAACATATTCACAGCGCTGGCTGTCCTTATAAAACCTTCACAAAATATTCACAGTGCTGGCTGTCCTGATTGTAAAAAACCTTCACAAAATATTCACTGTGCTAGCTGTCCAACTTATAAAATCATCACAACATATTCACAGTGCTAGCTGTCCTTATAAAAACCTTCACAAAATATTCACAGTGCTGGCTGTCCTTATAAAAACCTTCACAAAATATTCACAGCGCTGGCTGTCCTAATTATACAAAACTTCACAAAATATTCACAGTGCTGGCTGTCCTTATAAAAACCTTCACAAAATATTCACAGCGCTGGCTGTCCTTATAAAACCTTCACAAAATATTCACAGCGCTGGCTGTCCTTATAAAAACCTTCACAAAATATTCACAGTGCTGGCTGTCCTTATAAAAACTTCACAAAATATTCACAGCGCTGGCTGTCCTTATAAAACCTTCACAAAATATTCACAGCGCTGGCTGTCCTTATAAAAACCTTCACAAAATATTCACAGCGCTGGCTGTCCTAATTATACAAAACTTCACAAAATATTCACAGTGCTAGCTGTCCTTCTTATAAAAACCTTCACAAAATATTCACAGCGCTGGCTGTCCTTATAAAAACCTTCACAAAATATTCACAGCGCTGGCTGTCCTAATTATACAAAACTTCACAAAATATTCACAGTGCTAGCTGTCCTTATAAAAACCTTCACAAAATATTCACAGCGCTGGCTGTCCTAATTATACAAAACTTCACAAAATATTCACAGTGCTAGCTGTCCTTATAAAAACCTTCACAAAATATTCACAGCGCTGGCTGTCCTTATAAAAACCTTCACAAAATATTCACAGCGCTGGCTGTCCTAATTATACAAAACTTCACAAAATATTCACAGTGCTAGCTGTCCTTATAAAAACCTTCACAAAATATTCACAGCGCTGGCTGTCCTTATAAAAACCTTCACAAAATATTCACAGTGCTGGCTGTCCTTATAAAAACCTTCACAAAATATTCACAGTGCTGGCTGTCCTTATAAAACCTTCACAAAATATTCACAGCGCTGGCTGTCCTTATAAAAACCTTCACAAAATATTCACAGTGCTAGCTGTCCTTCTTATAAAACCTTCACAAAATATTCACAGTGCTGGCTGTCCTTATAAAAACCTTCACAAAATATTCACAGTGCTAGCTGTCCTTCTTATAAAACCTTCACAAAATATTCACAGCGCTGGCTGTCCTAATTATACAAAACTTCACAAAATATTCACAGTACTAGCTGTCCTTCTTATAAAACCTTCACAAAATATTCACAGCGCTGGCTGTCCTAATTATACAAAACTTCACAAAATATTCACAGTGCTAGCTGTCCTTATAAAAACCTTCACAAAATATTCACAGTGCTAGCTGTCCTTCTTATAAAACCTTCACAAAATATTCACAGTGCTGGCTGTCCTTATAAAAACCTTCACAAAATATTCACAGTGCTGGCTGTCCTAATTATACAAAACTTCACAAAATATTCACAGTGCTAGCTGTCCTTATAAAAACCTTCACAAAATATTCACAGTGCTGGCTGTCCTTATAAAAACTTCACAAAATATTCACAGTGCTGGCTGTCCTTATAAAAACCTTCACAAAATATTCACAGTGCTAGCTGTCCTTCTTATAAAACTTCACAAAATATTCACAGTGCTGGCTGTCCTGACTCCAAGAAAGACAAGGTTGCCGCCTGCATCAACCCTGACACGACAAAAACCACCATCATCTCCAGACTGCTACAGAGGGATGACTTCGATGTCAGCAGTATCACACAGTTTCTGCGCATGCGCTTCTATGTCCCTGCCGGTGACTATTTTTACCTTTAAGCAAATAAATTTTTTATTTAGTTTCATAGCTACTAAAAAGTTCTAAGCTTATTGGTCTTTTTTATTTGAATCATGTTTTGTTGGGGGTTTTTTTTTAGTTCTTAACATTAAAACTTGACTTGACAGCAAAGTTCTTAAAGATACCTATCCTTCTGTTGCTCTGAGTCTGGTACCCATTAGAATTGGGTGGACTCAGGAATGTCCTACAAACTTTAGGCTTAGAGTTAATTATTTTCTGCATCCCTCTTTACAAATTTTTTTGTCTATCGGATGTGTCCCAGGAGAACGTCAGCCTCCCCCTCCTCCCCCCCCCAACCCACCCACCGTCAGACGAAATAGAAAAAAAAACGTAATTAAAAAAAAAATTAACATTCTCGAAAATTTCAAATGCCCCCCCCCCCCCCACAACCCCCACTTTATATCTAAAGTCTAGTTACCCTTCTATCTAAAGTCTTGTTACCCATATATCTAAAGTCTAGTTGCCCTTATATCTAAAGTCTAGTTACTTTATATCTAAAGTCTAGGTACTCTGTCTAAAGTCTAGTTACCCTTTATGTCTAAAGTCTAGTTACCCTGTATAAAGTCTAGTTACCCTTATGTCTAAAGTCTAGGTACCCTGTCTAAATTCTAGTTTCATTTATGTCTAAAGTCTAGTTACCCTGTCTAAAGTCTAGTTACCCTTATGTCTAAAGTCTAGCTACCCTCCTATCTACATATATAGCCTAGTTACCCTTATATCTAAAGTCTAGTTACCCTGTCTAAAGTCTAGCTACCCTGTCTAAAGTCTAGCTACCCTGTCTAAAGTTACCCTTGTACCTACCCAGGTTCCTACATCTCCTGTGGGTACAAGGTCAACGCTCCTGCTGTCTTCATGGATGTGGACCTCGACAGTACCCACACCATCCACACGGACACCTGGACGCTTCAGCGACGTCCGGCTATCACGTGGAAGCCGGAAGCCGGAGCCGTCTACACCTTGATGGCCTACGACGTCGGTCAGATGATGCTGGGGGGTCTGTGGGTGAACATCAGGGGCGGCGACTCAGCTCTGGGAGCTGTAAGTATGGTAGAGTGGGTTACTGGGTATATCACAGCTTTGGAAGCTGTAAGTATGGTAGAGTTGGTTACTGGGTATATCACAGCTCTGGGAGCTGTAAGTATGTTAGAGCTGGTTACTGGGTATATCACGGCTCTAGGAGCTGTAAGTAGAGATGGTTACTGGGTATTTCACAGCTTTGGGAGCTGTAAGTATGTTAGAGCTGGTTACTGGGTATATCACGGCTCTAGGAGCTGTAAGTAGAGATGGTTACTGGGTATTTCACAGCTTTGGGAGCTGTAAGTATGTTAGAGCTGGTTACTGGGTATATCACGGCTCTAGGAGCTGTAAGTAGAGATGGTTACTGGGTATTTCACAGCTTTGGGAGCTGTAAGTATGTTAGAGCTTGTTACTGGGTATATCACGGCTCTAGGAGCTGTAAGTATGGTAGAGTTGGTTACTGGGTATGTTGCAGCTCTTTATGATAAAGGTTAATGATTATGGAAAAACATGTTTTAGGATATTTTACAGTGATCAGACATGTAAAATTTGTTTCAGGATGTCTATCCGTGGATGGTTAAAGATGTGAATTTATATTTTTTCAGGAACTGTATCCTCATGTTGGACCAATGAACGCCTTGGACAGGCTCAACTTCCATGTGTATGCTCTCTTCAAGCAGAGTGGCGATATAGACGAGTCTCGTTATGGCTTTATCCAAGGCGAGATCGCGAATTACATCACACAAAATAAGTTGATCTACCGCATCAGTCATTTGAAAGCCATTGTCCCGCAAATTGGTGGTGTGTATTCTTTAGTCTGGGGTTTAGAGTGAGGATGAGGATGATGATGATGATGATGATGAGGATGAGGATGAGGATGAGGATGAGGATGAGGATGAGGATGAGGATGAGGATGAGGATAAGGATAAGGATAAGGATAAGGATAAGGATAAGGATAAGGATAAGGATAAGGATAAGGATAAGGATAAGGATAAGGATAAGAATAAGGATAAGGATAAGGATAAGGATGAAGATAAGGATAAGGATGAGGATGATGATAAGGATAAGGAAGAGGATTATGGTGAGGGTGTGGGTGGGGATTGGGGTTGGGATAGGGATAGGGACAGGGACATGGATGAGGTTGATTGTTTGGGTTGAGGGCGGATATGAGGGTGAGGTTAGGGTAAAAGTCAGGGTGAGGGTAAGGCTTAGATTTAGGAGGATGAGGGTTAAGGGATGTAGATGTTTTTATGTTGTTGTTTTTTAACTTTCTGATTTAATTAACTACGAGATCTTAAAGAAAAGACTGTGTTTATGTGTGTGTGTGTGGGGGGGGGGGGGTGGCTTAAGTCTAAAAAACCAAGAAAGAAGAAAACTTGGTTTTTTATGGGTTTTTAGAGTAAACTTAAGCAATAATTGATTATCAAAAATGCATCATTTAATTAAAATCATTTATGTTTGTGTTCAGCCAAACATTTGATTCCCCTCCTTTGACTAGAACAGTTTTGAAATGCTTTATCTTTAGACCCCATGGCTATCGGGCTTATCGGAGTTAAAGCCGACCCCTACGGCGTTGCTAAAATGAAGACCAGGAACATCATCAACAACTGCCCTCTCCTGATCAACCAGCTGAGGCCGAGGCTGCAAACTATAGTCAATGTCCACAACTTGACCAAGTAAGTCAATGTCCACAACTTGACCAAGTAAGTCAATGTCCACAACTTGACCAAGTAAGTCAATGTCCACAACTTGACCAAGTAAGTCAATGTCCACAACTTGACCAAGTAAGTCAATGTCCACAACTTGACCAAGTAAGTCAATGTCCACAACTTGACCAAGTTAGTCAATGTCCCGAACTTGACAAAGTAAGTCAATGTCCCGAACTTGACCAAGTAACTCATTGTCCACAACTTGACCAAGTTAGTCAATGTCCACAACTTGACCAAGTAAGTCAATGTCCACAACTTGACCAAGTAAGTCAATGTCCACAACTTGACCAAGTAAGTCAATGTCCACAACTTGACCAAGTGAGTCAATGTCCACAACTTGACCAAGTAAGTCAATGTCCACAACTTGACCAAGTAAGTCAATGTCCACAACTTGACCAAGTAAGTCAATGTCCACAACTTGACCAAGTGAGTCAATGTCCACAACTTGACCAAGTAAGTCAATGTCCACAACTTGACCAAGTAAGTCAATGTCCACAACTTGAACAAGCAAGTCAATGTCCACAACTTGACCAAGTAAGTCAATGTCCACAACTTGACCAAGTGAGTCAATGTCCACAACTTGACCAAGTAAGTCAATGTCCACAACTTGACCAAGTAAGTCAATGTCCACAACTTGAACAAGCAAGTCAATGTCCACAACTTGACCAAGTAAGTCAATGTCCACAACTTGACCAAGTGAGTCAATGTCCACAACTTGACCAAGTAAGTCAATGTCCACAACTTGACCAAGCAAGTCAATGTCCACAACTTGACCAAGTAAGTCAATGTCCACAACTTGACCAAGTAAGTCAATGTCCACAACTTGACCAAGTAAGTCAATGTCCACAACTTGACCAAGTAAGTCAATGTCCACAACTTGACCAAGTAAGTCAATGTCCACAACTTAACAAAGTAATCAATGTCCACAACTTGACCAAGTGAGTCAATGTCCACAACTTGACCAAGTAAGTCAATGTCCACAACTTGACCAAGCAAGTCAATGTCCACAACTTGACCAAGTAAGTCAATGTCCACAACTTGACCAAGTAAGTCAATGTCCACAACTTGACCAAGTAAGTCAATGTCCACAACTTGACCAAGTAAGTCAATGTCCACAACTTAACAAAGTAATCAATGTCCACAACTTGACCAAGTAAGTCAATGTCCACAACTTGACCAAGTAAGTCAATGTCCACAACTTAACAAAGTAATCAATGTCCACAACTTGACCAAGCAAGTCAATGTCCACAACTTGACCAAGTAAGTCAATGTCCACAACTTGACCAAGTAAGTCAATGTCCACAACTTGACCAAGTAAGTCAATGTCCACAACTTGACCAAGTAAGTCAATGTCCACAACTTGACCAAGTAAGTCAATGTCCACAACTTGACCAAGTAAGTCAATGTCCACAACTTGACCAAGTAAGTCAATGTCCACAACTTAACAAAGTAATCAATGTCCACAACTTGACCAAGTGAGTCAATGTCCACAACTTGACCAAGTAAGTCAATGTCCACAACTTGACCAAGCAAGTCAATGTCCACAACTTGACCAAGTAAGTCAATGTCCACAACTTGACCAAGTGAGTCAATGTCCACAACTTGACCAAGTAAGTCAATGTCCACAACTTGACCAAGTAAGTCAATGTCCACAACTTGAACAAGCAAGTCAATGTCCACAACTTGACCAAGTAAGTCAATGTCCACAACTTGACCAAGTGAGTCAATGTCCACAACTTGACCAAGTAAGTCAATGTCCACAACTTGACCAAGCAAGTCAATGTCCACAACTTGACCAAGTAAGTCAATGTCCACAACTTGACCAAGTAAGTCAATGTCCACAACTTGACCAAGTAAGTCAATGTCCACAACTTGACCAAGTAAGTCAATGTCCACAACTTGACCAAGTAAGTCAATGTCCACAACTTGACCAAGTAAGTCAATGTCCACAACTTAACAAAGTAATCAATGTCCACAACTTGACCAAGTGAGTCAATGTCCACAACTTGACCAAGTAAGTCAATGTCCATAACTTGACCAAGCAAGTCAATGTCCACAACTTGACCAAGTAAGTCAATGTCCACAACTTGACCAAGTAAGTCAATGTCCACAACTTGACCAAGTAAGTCAATGTCCACAACTTAACAAAGTAATCAATGTCCACAACTTGACCAAGTAAGTCAATGTCCACAACTTGACCAAGTAAGTCAATGTCCACAACTTAACAAAGTAATCAATGTCCACAACTTGACCAAGCAAGTCAATGTCCACAACTTGACCAAGTAAGTCAATGTCCACAACTTGACCAAGTAAGTCAATGTCCACAACTTGACCAAGTAAGTCAATGTCCACAACTTGACCAAGTAAGTCAATGTCCACAACTTGACCAAGTAAGTCAATGTCCACAACTTGACCAAGTAAGTCAATGTCCACAACTTAACAAAGTAATCAATGTCCACAACTTGACCAAGTGAGTCAATGTCCACAACTTGACCAAGTAAGTCAATGTCCACAACTTGACCAAGCAAGTCAATGTCCACAACTTGACCAAGTAAGTCAATGTCCACAACTTGACCAAGTAAGTCAATGTCCACAACTTGACCAAGTAAGTCAATGTCCACAACTTGACCAAGTAAGTCAATGTCCACAACTTGACCAAGTAAGTCAATGTCCACAACTTGACCAAGTAAGTCAATGTCCACAACTTGACCAAGTAAGTCAATGTCCACAACTTAACAAAGTAATCAATGTCCACAACTTGACCAAGTGAGTCAATGTCCACAACTTGACCAAGTAAGTCAATGTCCACAACTTGACCAAGCAAGTCAATGTCCACAACTTGACCAAGTAAGTCAATGTCCACAACTTGACCAAGTAAGTCAATGTCCACAACTTGACCAAGTAAGTCAATGTCCACAACTTGACCAAGTAAGTCAATGTCCACAACTTAACAAAGTAATCAATGTCCACAACTTGACCAAGTAAGTCAATGTCCACAACTTGACCAAGTAAGTCAATGTCCACAACTTAACAAAGTAATCAATGTCCACAACTTGACCAAGTGAGTCAATGTCCACAACTTGACCAAGTAAGTCAATGTCCACAACTTGACCAAGCAAGTCAATGTCCACAACTTGACCAAGTAAGTCAATGTCCACAACTTGACCAAGTAAGTCAATGTCCACAACTTGACCAAGTAAGTCAATGTCCACAACTTGACCAAGTAAGTCAATGTCCACAACTTAACAAAGTAATCAATGTCCACAACTTGACCAAGTAAGTCAATGTCCACAACTTGACCAAGTAAGTCAGTGTCCACAACTTGACCAAGTAAGTCAATTCTGTTGTGGGGACGTTTTGGTAGCTCAGGGTCCCGTGTTCGGATCCCTTGCTGATGAGTATCGTTTGCTGGGTTTCAGCAACCCATCTAGGAGGGAAAACCCCAGAAATAAAATAACTATCCCTCAAGCAGAGTTTCTTTCATACATCTCTTAGAGAGGGGGGGGGGGCAAAGACGTCCCGTCCCCCGAAAGTCTATCGCCCCCCCCCCTACTCCCCACCCCTCCACTCACGAAATATTTTATATAGAAAATATATACTTCAACCAGTGCCCGTCCGCCCCCCTCCCCCGAAAATTTCAAGTGCCCCCCCCCCCAACCCTGCGAGAAAAAATCTGAAAGAAACACTGCCCTCAAGACGTCAACTATTTATCCCTACAAATTTTTGTCAAACCATTCGATAGGTAAAATTTTTCGAATATTTTAAAATCATTAACTACATTAGCAGATTCTTTAGTAATAATTGTACTAAAAAATAATCATTCTGCACAAAGGTGTTAAGTTTTCAAACGTTGTTGTTGTGGTCAGTTTTTGAATGAATTATTTTCTTCCTAGTGGTGCCGCGGTTAACCTTGAACTTGAGGTCGAGGTGACCTACACGAGCGACGAGATCGTTTTCAGTTCCTGCTGTAGGAATATCTCCGAAATGTGAGTCGCCTGTTGTCTGTCGTTCTAAAATATGTTGTCTGTCGTTCTTAAGTCTGTTGTCTGTCGTTCTAATGTCTGTTGTCTGTCGTTCTAATGTATGTTGTCTGTCGTTCTAATGTCTGTTGTCTCTGGGTCTAATGTCTGTTGTATGTGGGTCTAATGTCTGTTGTCTGTTGTTCAAATGTCTGATGTCTGTCGTTCTAATGTCTATTGTCTGTCGTTCTGATGTCTGTTGTCTGTGGGTCTAATGCCTGTTGTATGTCGTTCTAATATCTGTGTCTGTTGTTCTTATGTCTCTAGTTCTAATGTCTGTTGTCTAAGTCTCTAATGGCTGTTGTCTGTCGTTCTAATGTCTTTTGTCAGTTCTTTCTAATGTCTGTTTTAGTCTCTGTGTCTAATGTCTGTTATCTGTGGGTCTAATGTTTGTGGTTATAAAGCCTGTTGTATGTCATTCTAATATCTGTTGACTGTTGTTCTAATGTCTCTCGTTCTAATGTTTGTTGTCTGTTGTTCTAATGTCTGTTGTCTAAGTCTCTAGTTCTAATGTCTGTTGTCTGTTCTTATGTGTCTCTAGTTCTAATGTCTGTTGTCTGTTGTTCTTATGTCTCTAGTTCTAATGTTTGTTGTCTAAGTCTCTAGTTCTAATGTCTGTTGTCTAAGTCTCTAGTTCTAATGTTTGTTGTCTAAGTCTCTAGTTCTAATGTTTGTTGTCTAAGTCTCTAGTTCTAATGTCTGTTGTCTAAGTCTCTAGTTCTAATGTCTGTTGTCTGTTGTTCTTATGTCTCTAGTTCTAATGTTTGTTGTCTAAGTCTTTAGTTCTAATGTCTGTTGTCTAAGTCTCTAGTTCTAATGTCTGTTGTCTAAGTCTCTAGTTCTAATGTCTGTTGTCTAAGTCTCTAGTTCTAATGTCTGTTGTCTGTTGTTCTTATGTCTCTAGTTCTAATGTTTGTTGTCTAAGTCTCTAGTTCTAATGTCTGTTGTCTAAGTCTCTAGTTCTAATGTTTGTTGTCTAAGTCTCTAGTTCTAATGTCTGTTGTCTAAGTCTCTAGTTCTAATGTCTGTTGTCTGTTGTTCTTATGTCTCTAGTTCTAATGTTTGTTGTCTAAGTCTCTAGTTCTAATGTCTGTTGTCTAAGTCTCTAGTTCTAATGTTTGTTGTCTAAGTCTCTAGTTCTAATGTCTGTTGTCTAAGTCTCTAATGTTTGTTGTTGTAAGTCTCTAGTTCTAATGTCTGTTGTCTGTTGTTCTTATGTCTCTAGTTCTAATGTTTGTTGTCTAAGTCTCTAGTTCTAATGTCTGTTGTCTGTTGTTCTTATGTCTCTAGTTCTAATGTTTGTTGTCTAAGTCTCTAGTTCTAATGTCTGTTGTCTAAGTCTCTAGTTCTAATGTCTGTTGTCTAAGTCTCTAATGTTTGTTGTTGTAAGTCTCTAGTTCTAATGTCTGTTGGCTGTTGTTCTTATGTCTCTGGTTCTAATGTTTGTTGTCTAAGTCTCTAATGACTAATGACTGTTGTCTTAGTCTCTGGTTCTAATAGTTTGAAAAAAAAATCACATACATGTATAAACTAATCATATTAAGTGAAAATCTAAATTTTAATTTCTATTACCTTCTTTAAAAATATAACTCCTATTCGCAGGGCCAGAACCATTTATCTAAATCCTCTGAGTGAAACTCTTATTGCGCCCCTCTATGTAAGAAAACCGCCTTTCGTCAAGTTTAACGCTGTCAACACATTGAACAGTATCTTTTTTCTAGGTAAGTTTCTGTATGCATTTTTATATCGTTTTTGACGAAGTTGAAATCTGAGCGGCAAGCGTTTAAGCCAGGGGTCGGCAACCTGCGGCTCGCGAGCCGCATGCGGCTCTTTTGATATCAAGATGCGGCTCTCCAGCTCCTTGAACAAATACTAATAATCTTAATAAAAAAATAAAATATTTCAAATAAAAAAATGTTAGTGGCTCTTTAAAACCAGGGAAATTTTGAAAATTGTAACTTTTGGCTCTTCCGCTTCAAAAGGTTGCCGACTCCTGGTTTAAGCCTATTAACATTATTTAAATAAAACGTAGAAATCTATATAGAAGAAAAACAACCCGGTATACACTGTAGAAAACTGTATTGCCCCTTGTAATAACTAAAATTAATCCGCTATAATTTTAAAGTTTTCGCAAAAAATATTTTAATCAAAATAAATTACAATAATGCTAAAGTTTATTATTTACGTTAATATTTTGTTTACTAACATTATTTATTTAGAATATGTAATTTATTATTAATGTTTTATTGTTATTTAGGATGCAAATCTTAAATTCAAAATATGCTACAAAATGTGTAGTTCTTTCCCCTTAAACCTGGAAATCTGCGGTATAAAACATTTTTAAATTGTTCAGTACTTGCTTACACCCAGGGGCGGAACTACAGTGCCGCCAGACACCGCAATGCGGGGGGGGGGGGGGGGCCCACGCCGTTTAGGGGGCCTACAGCCGCCCATAATCATTTTTTTATAGTTAAAACAAATTAATTTTCTTGCATTTTTGACCTGATGGTTGTTTTGAAAAAAGAATACTAAAGCTGCGGTTGGATTATCTTTATTCTATTGACACCATCCCACGCTCTTGTATATTCTTTTTCCTACAATCAAACACCCGCTGTTGTCGGTTGAATTCTTTTGAAAAAAAACGTCCATTGCGCGAGAAGCCGCTAGATATTAAGACGACTTTTTGAGACCATCCCACATTCAGTATTGATGGATAAAAGTACATCGGCGCTTTGTTGTCCCTTTTAAGTTCCTTTCTTAAACCGCCCCTCCCGCTCTTAGCCTTACAAGAAGCGAATAGATAGCGCCCCAACAACTAAGCTGGCTCGTATCGGTGATGGTGTGGACAAACTAGCGCCCCAACAACTAAGATCCAAGAAATAAAGTGCCGACATTGTTTACGTTTAATAACCATTGTTCTAGAAAACAAGGCAAACGTCTAAAGTAAATACACGACTAATAACGTGTGATATATATATATATATATATATATATATATATATATATATATATATATATATATATATATATATATATATATATATATATATATATATATATATATTAGTTTCGCCACTGGCACCTTGATAGTGGTTTTGTAAATAACAAACAGATCTAATACAGTAGTGATGTTATATAGTATCTATGACATGCTGTTGCGTAAAAAATAAATATACACATGAGCTGTAGTGTGAAAGATAGGCAAACGTTCAAACCACTTCCATAAATTATTTCCCTTTTTTAAATAGTCAAATAGGGCTGCTCATAAGCTCCTTTTAATAGGTTTGTACTAATCAAATTAAACAGCAATTACTTATCTTAATTATTATTTTAAGAAAAATAAGTACTAAAGAATGGTTTAGTATAAAAATGAAATGTAGTTAAAATTAATAATAGAAATACAAAAAACATAAAAATAAACAAAACACGAGACACCATTAATTATATAAAGCTTTCATTATTTATATTCTATTGACCTACTTGAGGATTGGTTTTATTAATCAGGGGTCGGCAACCTTTTGAGACGGAAGAGCCAAAAAAAAAAAAAAAAAAAAAAAAAAAAAACGAGCCACACACATATTTTATTTCAATATTATGATATTTTATGTGGATATATATATATATATATATATATATATATATATATATATATATATATATATATATATATATATATATATATATATCTAATATATAAAGCTCAGTTCTGTAACGTGTGGCAAAAAAGTTTGTCGTTGACAGTTCTATGGATTTAAGTGTTAGATTTTTTATCGTGCTCACAGTCTAAATTTACGAGTCAAAAAATTACCATTGAAAGTCTTTAAAAACAATTTTCATTCTATTTACTTAGAAAAATAATTTTCAATTATGAACGCGACATAAAATTTTTAAAAAGTGTATCGACGTTTATAAAATTTCTAAAATTGTGTCGGAAATGTATTGACTGCACAGTTACTTCCCTTTAATAAAAAAAATTCTTAAGAAGAAAGAATTTACATTTTATTACTTTGTTTTTGGTGTTAAGAAAAAAAAAATAATTACATAATTAGCGGGGATTGATTAAGTGCAATGTCGTTAGGTATTTTTAACACTGCCTTTTATTTATTCTATACACTGAACATACTGTTCAATATTTTTTTTTTTAAATCAATAACATTTAATAAGCCAGGTCCTACAAATCCTATATGTTTATTTCTTTCCATTTACGGATAAGCTTGGAGTATTATCATTTTTGTTCACTAAATTGAAACAGGCGCGTCCGCCGGCGCCCTTGCACGGTTCGATTTGGCACCCTGGGCTATCATGTGAGCGCTATGCTGCATAATTTTGTTTTTAACAGTGCGATAGACTATGGGTAAGAAAGGTTACTATAGTCTTTAAGTGAATCAAATCCGGGCGTCCTCCGGCACCCCGACAGGGTGCTATTTGGCGCCCCGGGCCTTCCGGTGTACGCTATGGTATATACGTTCGCGTGAGTTCAAAAGACTATGAATAAGTTATGTACTATAGTCGTTTACTAAGTTCAATCAGGCGGTGACGTCATGGTGCGTCCTCTGGCGCCCAGACAGGGTGCTATTTGGGGTCCCGGGCCTCCCGTGTTCGGTTTCGCGCCTACGTTCATTAAAGTGAGTGCAAAAGACTATGAATAAGTTGGGGTACTATAGTCGTTTATTAAGCTGAAACAGGCGATTCCGCCCCGGGCTAGACTCTGAGCACTGTGCGTTTATGTTCGCGTTAGTGTTTTCTTTGTGTTTAGGTTGGGTTTGCGTTAGTGGTTGCGTTTTGATTTGGTTTGTTTTTGTTCTTTCTTTTTTCGTTTTCGTTTGTGTTTTATTTTCTTTGCGTTTGTGTTTGTATTTGTGTTTGTGGTTGGTTTTGTGTTTGTATTTGGTTTGTTTTCGTTTGTTTTTTCGTTTGTGTTTTTTTCTTTGGGTTTGTGGTTGGTTTTGCATTTGGATTTGGTTTGTTTTCGTTTGCTTTTTCTTTTGTTTTTTTTTTTGTGTTCGTTCGTATTGGTGTTTGTGGTTGTGGTTGGGTTAGTTGTTAGGTTTTTGTTTTCGTTTGTATTTGTAATTGTGTTAGCGTTATGTTTGCGTTTTGTTGTTTTGGTTTTGGTTTGGGTGTGCAATGCCGGGTTTATGATGATTACTAAACACACAGGTAATGGTCTTTAACAGAAAGGTTTTTCACAGAAGCCAGAGCAGGGCCTGGCCGGGACGGCTAGTATATATATATATATATATATATATATATATATATATATATATATATATATATATATATATATATATATATATATATATATATATATATATATATAATAGAAAGTACATTGAAATAGGGAGTAAATAAATATTCTAATATAATAGCGAGTGTTTATTGTTTATATTTATTATTATATCATGTGTGTGTGTGTAAACACGATAACTTGAGTACCGTTATAGCTAGGTTGATGAAATTTCATATATAAGTATTTTATCAAAATCGTAGATCCGTATCAACTTTTGAGCGATTTCCGATAAACGGAAGTGGTACTTTTTCTACTTTGAATTTTTCAAAAGCCTATAACTTGAGTACTATTTCAGATAGATAGATGAAATTTGATATGTAAGTAAAAGATCTAATTCTCTACCTTCTGTCAAATTTGAGTAATTTCCGTTTACCGGAAGTACTTATTTACGCTATTTCTGATTTCTCAAAAAACGCATGTAAATTTATAAAGTACTGACAATATTGCGCACTATTATGCACATCTTTATTTAGCGTTCACTTGGTGTGCATTTCTTTTTTTTTCTACGAGATTATATTCTATTTTTAAAAGTTGGAGTATTTAAAATGGATTAAAAATCATGTCTAGAAGTCTATATCCCGAGTTGCCATCCCCCGTAGTGTTATATTAGAATATTCGAGAAAGTTTAGGGGAGATCACTCCCGGTTTATTTTTTTTTTTCGAGATTATGGTTGCTCGGGTTAGGGTGGGTGTTAGGGGTTCAAAGATATGTTACGATGTGGTATGGGCGGGAATTTTTTTTAAATAATGTTCATAGCGTTTTTTTTTTAAAGTTATTTTAAATTTTTCAAATACTTTTTTAGCGCAATTTCCATACTGGACAAGTGTTAGCGCAATTTCCATACTGGACAATTGCGATTATTAACTCGTTATTTCTGGGTGGATGGATGGATGGATGGATGTGTGCCCGCAGCCTTTAAGTCGTATCTCCTCCTCAACGAAGCAATATCGAGGACTAGTTCCAAAGCAAATATGTTAAGCAACTTCCGAGGATGAAAATAGGCCAAAAAAATTCCGGAATTCCTTCCTGGATTTCCCGGAAAAGCCAAAAAAAGGTCGAACAAATGCAGTTTTTGCTCCATATCTCGGCAACCAGACCACTTAGCGACTTGAAACATTTACCAATCGATCCCTGCCATAATTTAGAACAATATTGCCGAAGAAAGTTTTCAAAAATATCCTTTCGTTCGGTCACAAAAAATTAATTAAGAACATTTGAACTGAGCATCGTGTAGGCCTAGGATGATTTAAACTGAACATCGTGTAGGAGTTTATATTTATAGGATGATAATTACAAAAAATAAAAAATTAAAAGTTGTTATGGATAACATAAGGAAATTGCGCTTAAATTGTCACTAGACTTTTTATTAACTTGTTTTTCTAAACTGTTTCAAAATTCCGTCAATGTATTAAAAACTTATTTATTTATTTTCTGTTGCTTTCCTCAGTAGTCGTACAAAGGGAAAGAACTCAATTATTATTTTCGTCTAAGTCTTCCTAGCTTTGTTATATCCCTTTAATAAAATACACATAAATAAGGGAAGGCGTGGTGGTTAGTTGCCAAAATGGGACAACAATTTTAGTTAGGGAGTGTGAGTTTTTATGACGATGTGTGAATGTGCAGTAAAAGTTTCCCTTTCAAACCTGACGGTCTATGGGGCGAGTGAAGTAGAGTTCACTTGTTTCTGTGACCTCGGCATATGAAGAGATAGTGTGGTCAGCACTATGCCCAGCCGCCTTTACTCTCCCTAACATGAGTTAGGTACCCATCAGAGTTGGGTGGACTCAGGGACGGTCTACTGACTTTAACCCAGATTCGAACTCGAGACTCTACCGCTAGACCACTCCGTCCCATGTGAATGTGCAGGGAGGGGTGTAAATATCTGAATTAAAAAGCGTGACTTCGTCTATGGATTATTGTAAAACAGTTATTGTAAAACAGTTTTATGAAACGTAAAAAAAAAATGAGTGTGATTTTGTTGAATGACCACAGACTCGATGTACACCTTACTTCTGCTGGACGTGACTGCTGCCCTGGCCACTCCTGGATCAATGGACGCCACCCTGTTGTGGTTCATCATGGACATCAAGGGACAGTACCCGAGTTCAGGGATGGAACATGTCCCATACATCAGTCCATCTCCACCACTGAATCGCTACAACATCAGCCAATACGTGTTTTTGGTATTTAAACAAAACGGATCGTTGATGATGAATTTTAATTTGCAAAGCTACTGCCAAGGAGCCAGGTATATTTTACATTTTTAAATCAAAACTTTTTTTTCGAGATAGCTTTTTTTTTTAAAAAATTTAAAATTTATTATATATATTTATATATATATATATATATATATATATATATATATATATATATATATATATATATATATATATATATATATACATATACATATATATATATATATATACATATACATATATATATATATATATATATATATATATATATATATATATATATATATATATATATATATATATATATATATATATATATATATATATATATATATATATATATATATATATATATACATATATATATATATATATATATATTTATTTTTTTTTTTTTTGTCATTTAACGAGATGTTGATCTAATTGGTTTTTATTTGAGTTGGGCTTTCCTCTTTTTACCTAGCCCGTGCAAACTAAATTTGAACAAGATGGTCACAGATTTCGGCTTGGTGCTGAGTGGGGTCAATTGGTTCCAGAGTCTTCCAGACAGCTACACCCGAATGGTAAGTTTGGGGTACAAATGGTATATTTTGTAGTACAATTTGTAGTGCATTACACCAGAATGGTGAGTCTGTGGTACAAATGGTATATTTGATAGTACAATATGTAGTGCATTTACACAAATGGTTTATTTGGTAACACAATTTGTAGTGCATTACACCAGAATGGTGAGTCTTGGGGATATAAATGGTATATTTGGTAGTACAATTTGTAATGCATTACAGCAGAAAGGTATGTCTGGTGGTACAATTTGTAGTATAGAGTAGTTGATCTAAAGATACAGATTGTAATGTATTATGGCAGAATGGAAGATGTCGGTAAAACTCATGGTTGCTAAACCGAACAGTCTCGAGTTCGAACCCCCGGGCAGATGAGGCTCAACATCTGAGGACAGTCACTCTTCTAGAAGAGACAACTCCAAAATTAAACAACTGCTGCCTTGTAGTTTGTTCTTGGTTGGATAAAGGCTATGGAAACAAGTCAATAGCCTATCTGGCTCTTAAATAATTGACTCGTAGATCTACTGCTTATTTCTTTTGGAAGGAATCCCTTCCAAAATTAAAAATTGAGAACGTTGAATAAGAAGATTGTGATGAAACAAATCGTTTCAATTACTGCATGATGCAAGTTGAAGAATTTGACAGTTCAATGGAAGTTCTCTGATGCTACAAATGTTTGTGAATTGCAATATAGCTTGAAACAGAGTTTCTTCCAGGCATCTCTTTGAAGAAAGTCTACCGACCCCCCCCCCCCTCCCATGGAGAAAAAAAGTCTGGAAGAAACACTGGTTTGAAAGCGAATCTAAGATTTATGCTGATTTGGGGGTCGATTGGAATACTTAGACTAGACTATGTGGTTTTGTTAAAAATTACTTTCCCACAGGTTTAACTTATTTGCTTAAAATAAATATTTTTTATTATCAATATTTTTGGAAACTAAATTTATTTATCATGTTGTTGTTTTTTCAATTAACTTTTCATGATCAAGTTACATAAACAGTTAAGCAAGATAGGCAACTATTTAAAAAAAAAACTACACTTTAAAACAGAAGAATTACAAGAAAATGTAACATTTAAACTGTCCACTTTTCAGAAATTGTATGAAAATAACCCCAGCAACATGAACTCGGCCTGTGCAGGGGTGTCAGGCTATACAAACCCTTGTCCAGACAAATGCAAGCTTAGTACGGCAGCGCCACCTACCACGACCACAAAAAACAACAGATCCAACTTACTCATGGCAAACACTATATTAGTTCTATTATCACTTTTCTTGGTGTATAGATGTATTCAGTAATATGACTCACTGTAGGGAAGTGCTTGTTATTTGTTTCTAAATCTAACTAAAGTATACCATCTTACATTGCAGTTTAGGAGATATACAAAAAAATCATATAAATATATATATATATATATATATATATATATATATATATATATATATATATATATATATATATATATATATATATATATATATATATATATATATATATATATATATATATATATATATATACCTAGATAATAATATGTATACATCAGAGTATTGAATCCTATTAGATCAAGTTTCTAGCATAGGTCTTCTTTCGAGAAACTATTAAAATAAAAACACCAAAATCTATATTCTCGCTTTACCGTTATATTATATTATATACTTTGAACATGGTAAAAAAAATATTTTACCGAGATGTTGTTGCTGTTTTGTAATGAAGACCAAGTGTTTTGGTAGTCTTGACCACTGCCCGCTATAGTTTACCCTGAATGTTAAAAGCAGGGCTACTTGATTTGACTATACTGTAACAGTAGTTGATGCAAGACTTCAAGGTGTGTATTGGTCTGAACTGAAAACAGCATATTACGTATGTCTGGTGTAGTGAAAATATAGTCTGGAGTAAATGTAAAAATTTCGAAGCCGATGTTTAGTTTAACCTTTTTTATGATAACAAAGCAATAAAATAATCCCAGTGCAGATTAAATTGCCAAGGGATAGTACTCTTAATAAGCTTAAATAAATAAATTTAAACGGAGTAGTCTCCCTTTGACCATATCATAAGTCAATATTAAAAAGGGGAGATAATTATTTTTAAACATGTTTAAACTTAAACGAAATACAATGTATCAATTTCCAGAGTTTGATTATTAGATTTACTAATCCTTTAAAGGGGATCCATCGGTACAGACGTATACATTATTGTAAAGATTTTTGTTATATGTAGAAAATTTATTTCTATTAGAATTATTTTTAACAGAAATGTGTTAATTCTTTTAATATAATGTGTAAAATAAATAAAAATATTTTTTTAAATAAGTTTAGAAGTCATTGTCATCACATAGATCTTTATTTGATATAGATTTGTAAAACTACCTTTGGTTACGTGTCACTCTTCAAATAATTTATTCAGTGAAACCAAATTCATTGCCATCTTTTACCTGGAATGAAGCTAATTGACTTGGCAGATAATCACATTTATAACTAAATTTAATTTTTTAAACCTTAATGTTTTGTTTTTTTTCAAAACGAGGAGCCAGGCATATTAAGCCTAGAAATGTATACTGTTTCATTCCGGCACACATACCAATATGTAGTGTGACAAATTGTCAAACTACACTTTTCAAATTCAACCACAGCCTCACACAAATAATGCTAACTCAGGTAATCATACAAAGCTTTAATTCCTCACTGCCAGGACATCTGAACTCAATGTACTGCCAGGTTGCCATTTCAAACAAACAAAAACATCAAAAGGACAAAGTATTTCTTTTAGTGCTCCACATCACAGAACTAGTCACCTGTGACTGCAGGCACCACAGTCCTATTAACAATGTCCAAACTAAAAATCTAGAAAAAATAATTGGCCCTATATGATAACATTAAACAATAGAGCAGGTGATTCTAGTTCTAGCTAGCACGAAGATTTTATCAAATTTAAAAAAATCTTTACCATATTTTTTAATCATTGAACATATGAGAACTGACCAAAAACTACATAAAATAAAATACCAGGTAAATAATGAGACTATTAAATGGACCTTAACTGCTCTACTTTCGGTTAAGATTTGACTACAATCTGGCCAAAAAAATATTAGCCTTTTGAACTTAAATATTTACATTTCAAAAAAGATGACAAATATGGTCAGTGAGTATTAAAAACAGAACTAGGATTTCAATAATAAAACAAAAAAGAAAATTATTTGCAATGTTTTACTAGTTTACAAAATGTAAAATTAAAATACAGTGTCTGCAATAAAATACAACCAACTTAATGTGGAAAAAAAATGAAAGCATATAAAATTCAACACAGATTTTACTTGGGTGTAACTGAATATAAATAATAATTTGTCCTGGATGGGTAGCAAGCCTGAAAAGCAATAGATTATTGAAATATTAGAGTGGGAAAAAAACAAAGATAAAATGTGATAAAATATGTTTAACACATTTTATTTATTTTTTAAACATTTATTTGCAAACATCAATATTTTAATAATTACTTTTGTAAGATTTAAAACAATGCTAAAGCTATATATTACATGAGCATAACTCACCAACCAACCAAGGAGTAAATTTAAAACCACTGACTCTGAATTAGGTATTTTCAACTGCATTCTACTGCAGTAACACAATAGGACTACATTTTACATGCCAATAATAAAAATAGACAATGTAAAATAGAATAAAATGTAGGAATAAAAATTATTATAAATAATAAATTGTAATAAATGTATGCAAGGTTTAGTAAAATTAAATTAAAAACAGATGAACAATAAAATTAAAAAGGAAAAAAATGCACCAAAGAAGTTAGTTAACAAAATTTGGTTTTAGCTACAAGATTTATTTACATAATTGCATTAATTACATGTAATATATTGCATAGAAAATTTTGTGAGAACCGCATATTACCTTAATATTTCATAAGTGGATAAAGCAAAACTTTAAATTTATTCATGGCACTTAATGATCAATTGTTTATTTCTTTATCTACCTCATATTTAAGCACGCTATTATTAACATTAAAATAAATAAAGTAAAAATAAAGTAACACTTTTGCTATGAATCAATGCAAATAGAAACCGTAGTATTCCTAAATTAACCACATTTGCCTAAAAAAGCTAGGCCTAATAGAACTGAACAATTAAAGATAAATAAATTTTAATGTATGCATTTTATAAGCTATGTAATGTATAAATTTTATAATCTATAGTTAAAAGCATGCATTAACAATAAGCTGTTAACAGTAAATATTTAAAACATTTTCCTAATTATTATCATATATAGAAGTCTTGGTAGAATCAGATGTTTATATTAAAAAATTTATGTAACAATTACCAACTTAACCAAATTACGTGTTATTATTTATCACTGGTATTTTAACTGATTTTACAGTAACCATCACACTCTACTGCCTATCTTTAATCTAGTCTTGATCTTGAAAGAATTGCTTTAATAATTCTGTTTAAACTAAAAACGTGAGATGCTACTAAAACAGTTTAGTATTTGGTTCCTATTTTTTTTTTCAAATGTTATAAAGCAATATATCATATTCAGCTTTTACAATTATAAAAATCACAAAAAAGATTTTCTATCTGGTCAATATTGTCCCTAGGCCACATAAAATGTATACAAGAAGAAAATTATTTTTAGGCAGGAGAGTGTTCATATTATCAAAATATTTAATAGTTTATGACACAGGTATAACAAAGATTGTTAAAATATTATTTAGTAAACAAATAAAACAACAGAAAAGAATTTTTTTTAAATAAAATAAACAGTCACTGAAGAATACAATTGGCTTTCTTTGTATCATTAGATACCATTCCCTCAGAGGGAAAGCTATCAGGTTCAGGTAAAGTATCTTCCTGCTCCTGTGGGTACTCAGGCTCAGGTAAATCATTTACAAACGGCTCCTGATAGCTGTCAGAGTCAGATAAACTAGGAACAAACTGAGAGCTAACAGGTTCAGGTAAAGTAGGTACAAACTCTTCCTCATCGTTTACCTCAGCGTCAGCCTCCACAGCATCTTCCATCTCCTCGCTGCTGTCACTGTCAATGTCACTGACACTTGGGCTAGATCTGGTTGCTACAAAGGTACAATTGTAGTCAGACACATCATTGTTCATGCTATTTTCCTCACGGCTAGCCTCTTTTCGAGGCCCGCCTGATCCACTGTTATACTGCTCTTCCTGTTATGTAGAGAAAATTATTTTTAACAAATGATTTATATACTGACAATAAAAAGCACTTGTTTAAAACAGAAAACATTAATTAATTTTACATTTAAGAGAAAACAACAGTGTCCATTTTTCTATCAATTAATTTACACATCAATGTAACTGCTTAGACATTACTGGTGACTGGGACTTTACCAGTGAAACTAAAATGCAGTTTTCACAAATAAAAAGGAGTAATTAAACTACAAAAAAAAATTCAAGAGGTAAACACAACCATCAATGGCAGTTAATGTGAATGGATATATGATTCAAAACGTATCCCCTCATTTACATAGATAACAGAGCTATCATGCTGACCTGACCATCAGGACAATAACGGGCTAGTTTAAAATTACCTTAAATGACATGCTTGACTTCTTTTTCTCCAGCTTGTTAGGAAACATTTCCTTGATGGCCATGTCAACCTCAGCCAGTATCTGGTGTTGTCTGTAACCTTTTAATCCATTGGTTGCTGAGTAAACATTCTCCAGTACCTCACGGGCCTCAGCTCTGCATAAATTAAAACAAAAATAGAAAAATACATTCCAACAGAAAAACAAGAGTCATCAAATAGGTATAACCAACATTACCAAGAACCTAAACTAAAGCATTGCTTTTAAACTCTACTGTACCATCTTAAGTACTCTTATCAAGCAGTGGTTATGTTTATAAACAAACCTTTTAACAGTAACCAGCAGAATGTTTGTTTTTTAAAAAGTGACCCCTACTTTCACTTTTTGAATTATGAAAACTGCCCAAAATGTTAGTGCAAAATTAACAGGGTTTGACTTTGCCAACCGGCTATAGCCTAGTTAGGCAAAGATGAGCTACTACTGACATTACATTTAGGGCAGAAATTTTTATAAAGTTGTAAGATGTGTTTGTTTGAGAAGTCTGATAATTAGTCGGACATGAATAGCAATGCTTTAGACGTATTGAAGTTTTTTTATAACATGAATCATATTTAGGTGGCTCCAGACTACAAATCTAGTTCAGACCGTCCACACATGAACAGATTATTTTACAGTTACAATGTTTTCAGTTAATTAACTCTACTAGTCTATTCAGTTCATACAAGTGCTTAATTTCACTTAAATTTTACTACATATCAACATCAATTGTTCCCAACAAATAAATATATTTGTGTACATGCAAAATAACCTCTGGGCAGGAGGGAACTGGTCATTAAATAATATGAGGATGATGGAATTAAGACCAACAAGGGGATCTGGGCTTTAAGTGTTAAGAAACACTTGAGAAATTTGTTTCAAAGTTAACATTTGGACTAAAAAGAAGGTACATACTTGGTTAGAGAAGGGTAAGTTTCTTGAATTCGATTGGTCAGGTTGGTATATTTTTCTTGTAATCTAAAATCTATTAGTGAGTGCTCAAGGGATGTAGCTTGCTTCTTTGTCATCTGTGAATAAAATAAAACATGTTCTAACTGAAAATAATGTAGCCTACGATCTTTTATCACTTATTTATGGTACATTGGCTACACCATCTAGTTTTTATACTGGTAGAAAATGTATTTAATTATACAAAATACTAATGTAAAATAAATAAATCAAGTAAAAAAGAATTTAACAAAATCAAAATGTTGAACATGATTTAACAAAACATTTAACATTTTATTTAACTAATGTGAAACAAAATTAGATTAATATCAAAAGGTAAAATAATATACCCAACAAAATAACATAAAAATAAGAATTAACAACAAAATATGTACTATGTACAAAAAGATTAAACAAAACAACATGTAAAATAAACATTTAACAAGCATTTGCAAATTAAGGGAATTTAAAAAAAAAAACTTTACTATTTTCCATTTGTCTTTAGCATCTTCATCCTTTTTCTCCAGTTTAACATCTGAATTAAAAAAAACATTCTTTAAAAATTCATACTTTTTGCACTCATTAAAATGTTTGGTAATGCCTATGTTGTTATATAAATTTTCATTGAAATTACATTACAGTAACAATTAACTTCTTGAATTAATTGGTTCATTTTAGATTAATACTCATCTGCTTAGAAAGATGGACAGAAATAACAGGTTCATTTAATTAAAAAAAAAGCTGTCCACTGCTGCCTACTCTCACAATTTCTGATTTATTTTTTACATTGGAAAACAGCAATGAACTTCATTATCAGTTCAAAATGCAGATTACAATTTTATTTTTCACTTTCAATGTGTGCCTTTTTACTACTAAACAACAGCTAAGGTATATTCTAATTATTAGTTACTGTTAAGAGAAACAAGTATTTTCATAGGTAAGAAGGGTAGCCTATATCATACCTGATTCATCCTTGAGTTTAATTTCATCTAATCCATAACAGCTGGAGGTGCTGGCTTTAACACTGGACCCATCAATTCCAAGATCTGAATATTTTCCAACAGGATAATTCTTTGGCTCATCCACATTGCTGTTGCTTGAGGTTGTGGAGTACAGATCTTCCCATTCAGTGATGCTGGAAATGCTGGATTTTTCACTCAAGGGCTCACGAGACAAGGACTTCTCTCTGTGCTCCCAGGAACTCTTCAAGTAACATTGGTCAGCCTCAGCTGTGTTCCACTGCTTGACAGTTGCAACACTTCTAAAATAATGGGATTTAGATACCTCTAATTCTGGTGTTTTTTTAGCCTTGACGGCAGAATACAAACTATCTAACAAAGGCTCTGTGAAATCCTTGGTGTCAGGTCTCGGTTCATTTTTCTTATAAGGTATTGTGCTTTCAAAAGTCGGAGAATCACTGATATTAAACTGTGTTTGATCTGTTTCATCCCTGCCAAAGGCATCCATAAAATGCAAGTCATTTAGCGATGGAGCCCCTTTCTTTGTCTGGGTATCATTCATTGGATTGGGAAAGTGAGACTTTGATGAGTATGTAGAAGAGGAGTCTGAACAAGGCATTAATGGTTTGATTGATTTGGCACTTGAGGCTTCTCGAGTAAGCTGGATGTCTGAAGTTGTTAGGAGTTCAGCATTAGTTCTGTCACTTAGTAGGGGTTGCACCAATGATTTTTTGCTGGGTTGTGCAGTAGTTCTGTCAGATAGTAAGGGTTGTGTGAATGAGTGGTTGCTGGGTTGTGCATTGGTTCTGTCAGATAATATGGGTGGTATGAATGAGTGGTTGCTGGGTTGTACGTAAGTTCTGTCAGATGGCAGGGGTTGTAAAAATGGCTGGTTGTTGGACTGTGCATTGCTTTTTTCAGCATGATATTGCTGGGGCTGCACCAAAGGCTGGTTGCTGAGTTGTGTGCTGGCTATTTTACCCGTGCTCAACTTGTCTTGGGGGTAACCATGCACTTTCTTCTCTTTATCAGGAGATTTCACAATTGAGGCATAACTGGTCGAAGACTTTAGATCTAAAATAACCTTATTCATGGAATGTTTTTGTTCATTATCAGTGCACGTCCTCATAGCATCCTGTATGGTAGAAAAAGTACTTCCGTGTGAAGAGATGAAACTATCTTCCGGGTCCTTACAATAGTCACTGACCAAACTGAAATCAGAAGTATTTTTAGAGCAGTTAACCCCTGAATAAGTTTGGCTTGTCATATAGTTGGTTGGCTGATCATTTTTTGGCAGAGTGAAACCTGGAGCCTTACTATATGACTTTGTACCATCGGTAGATTCAGTGTCAGACTGTTTGCTTTTATTTGCCTGTTTTTTTGGTCGCAAGTCTAGAGGTGGCATTTTTTTCACTACTTTGGAACTTGGGTTCTGAGTACTGGATTTTTTTAACACAGAGTTTTCTTCCGCGCTGGCGAGCGAAGCAAAGGCATTCATTTCATCAGGTTTTGTTTCAAGTGGGAGACCAACATGACTAATGCCACCTTTACTGGCTAAAGAGCTTAGACTTTCACAGTTAGCTACACCTGGTAAATTACCACCTGGTAAATTACTACCTGGCAATTGGTAATTTTGGTAACTCAGCATTGACTGCAGGTAAAGATTTTGTAGCTTGAGCAGGTCTTCTGCCTTCTGCTGAGCCTGAAGCTGTAGTAAACTTCTGATCGATGAGTTGTACAAGCTTTGTTGCTGTAAGTTTAAAGAAGAGCTTTCAGGCTGCTGAGACACATTGAATGAGTTACCAACCAAAGGATTAGCCTGGAAAGGATTAGCCTGATAGTCCTTTAGAGTGTTGGCATAATTAGGCAATAAGTTATCCAGACTTAATCCAGAAGCAACAGCATCACCACAAGCAGTTAAGTTACTGTTGGCTGTCACTTGCGAGAAAGGTACCCGGTTAGCAAGTAGCAACAAATTTTCAATGTCAGAACTTTCTGTGAGCGATTCAGCACCGAGTTTCTTGGCAGACTGCGTACGGCATGTCTGTGCGGAACTAATGGAATTCAAGGAAGGAAAATCTTTCACACTTTGCTGCTGCTCTAGTTGGGGGTCTCCCAAGTTTGCTGATTTTAATTTGTTCAGAGACGTGGCATCACTCAACACTTTCTCAGTAGACTTTTGTAGTAACTTCTGCTGGGAAGGGAAAGAAGCTGTTTCCCTAGATGTTAAAGGAACAGTATCTACTTTCTTCCCAGTTGGCAGGGTTGAATTTCCTAAATCAACTGATTTCTCAGACTTAGGAAAATCTGGACACATGTCTGTCTTGTTCAGGTCTCTTTTTATTAAATGACTAGTAAGACAAGACCTGGTTTGAGGTAATGAAGACATACTCTCATCCCCAGCTTTTTGCAGTAGTTTGTTGAACTTCAACACTGAGGGTGTAACCACATTTTTAGCACTGCTCAACAAATCTCTTTTATCAACAGCCTCTGCTGCCAAGGTTGGCTCTAGGACAACAGATGATGCAGGTTTACCATCGGACGAACTGTCAGAAGACAGACTTGAAGAGGGTAATATAAGCTCAGACTTCTTCACGCTAGAACTTTTACCCTGAAGAAATCTTGATAGGGCTCTTGGGGCTCCTAGTGTTAATTGTGGTGGGGGTGGTGGTGCACTGGTTTTGCTGACTTGACTTTTTTCTTTTACTACGCCAAAGCTTCCACTTGATTCAGTGACTACATTTTCTGTATCTCTTTGCTGGTGAGAAGCCTCAAGGGCTTTCTCATTATCTTTCCCCACACTTAGGGTAACCTTACTTTTGGGAATATTTTGTGACGAGCTGTCTGGTTTGTGTGATGTTTGCTGAATATTCTTCTCTCTCTTGTTTAAACTTGCACCGACAACCTCATCAGCATCAGCTCGAATGTGATCAAGGTGTTCTTTGGTAACACTCTCAACCCTGGCAGCTTGAGCCACCGTGTCGCCTGAATCACTCAGTAGAAGATCCACATTTTTAACTTCTACAGCAGTTCTCTTACTTACACAGCAGCAGCTGGTTACCACTGTTTTTATGGCTGAACTTGGAATGTTGCTGCTTGCTGTGTCCTCCCTGGAACTTTTGCCCTTGTTCAGAGTACTAAGGGTTTCTTTAGGAAGAGGGTCTGCTTCACTTTGAACTGGTGGAAGAGTTACCCTGGCATCAGACTCCTGCTGTCTTCCAGAGGAAGGCTTCACATCTTTTGCTTGTTTAGAACCATCATCAACCTAAAGTAGATCATTTTTAATTTAAGCTTGATCAGTTAGATTTAGTTTACTATATCAATAAAAACAAAATTTAAACATTCATAATCATTTTAGCTGATTTGAAATTATTAATTCATAAATTATTAAATACATTACAACATAGGCAAGAAATAATAATTCACACACACAAGCCGTGTAGCTTTACCTTATTGGAAGAATAAATAGCCTTAATGAAGTTGTCATCTTCATCAGCCATCAGTTGTTTGTAACAAGCAAAGCAATATTTCCTGTTGTCACACTCCTCTGTCTGCACCTCAGCATCTTTAAGGCATTTACTTACTGGCTGTTTGTCACTGCTGTGTACTTCAGGCTTTGGGGGAAGCTTACAGTTTACCACACTAGGCTTGCTGATGAATTTCTTTAAAGACGGGGGTGCAAGACAAGTTCCTGATGTGGTGGAATAAGGGCATTTTTTTATTTCCGAGTTTGACGTGGGAGGAGGCTTGACCTCTGAACTTGTTCCGGAAGCTGAGAGAGATAAGAATTGACACTTTTTAATCTCTGGGATTTTAGTGGGTGGTTTGTCCTCTGAACCCACTACAGCAGTGGTTGGGCATGTTTTAGCTTCTGGATTCAGTGTGGATGACTTGCCATCTTGACCAAGGCTAGCTCCTGTGGCTGTATTAGAAGACGGTTGACACTTTTCAACTTCTGTGTTGATTGTGGGTACTGGAGTGTTGTCTTGACTTACTGAAGCAGTGGTAGGACATTCGTTGTCTTCTGGGTTAACTTCTGGCTTGTCCTGTGAACCAAGACCAGCTACAGAGGCTGTGTCAGGCGTGAGTTGAGATTTTTCAACTTCTGAGTTTAATAGGGATGGCTTGTCCTTTGAACTACCTGAAGAAGTAGTAACACATTTTTTATCCTCTGGATTTAATGTGAGAGGCTTGACCTCTGGAGCAAGACTAGTCTTTGAAGATGCCTGCACTTCAGGCGATGGGCAATTTTTCCCATCTGGATTTAGTCTGGAACAAGTGGAAGGCTTGAATTCCGGAGTTGATGGATTTAAGGTGGATTTCGCTTTATTAGACTTCTCTACCTCTTTAGCATCTATTTCAACAGTAAGTCCATGGTCTTTAGCTATTTTACAAAACACCTCACCAACTGAAATTAGTACAAGATATTTCACAACAATAATGAAATATATAATTGCAAGTTGACATTAGAATTCATACAAGACTTTTGACAAAAAAACTATATTTACAGATACACTAAAGATACCTCAAAGATGTAGTAATTTTAAAAACACTGCCTTCCAATAAATAATACTCACAATCCATATCTTGATGTGTACTTCTGTGGAAAGTCATATATAAATTAAATATAAAAAATCAAAGAAATGGTAGCTGGAATACAGTTCAACATGAAAATCAAAGAAGCTTAGCTATTATTAAAGTCTTATTTTAAGAATGATCAATGTAATTGAAAATGTGTTTCATATAAAAAAAAATTAAAAATTGCTAATTTGACATATTTAATAAAAGAGAAACAATTTACCTCCTTTTGTTCTGGTTTTGATCATTTGCTGAAAGATGTAAAATAAAACAAATTTATACATTGCAGATCTATTGTCTAAAATTAACTCAATTTTACAGTGGACATGGTCTGAAGCAGATTTCAAGACAAAAGTATATAGCACATGAATAACATCTGGAAAGCACAACATCTCATACTTTCCTATACCTAATGCATTGAGGGATTGGTGGTATACACTCATTCATCATACCTATAATTAGGTATAAAATAGGTGCTATTTTCAAACAATAGCTTGCTATTCATCTAAACCATCCACTCAGAAAATAAACAAAGCTTACTCACACAAATAACCCTAAGGAGAATTTAACATTAAAGCTGTTTATTTGAATCACAATATAACTAAAGAGAAAAAATTATTACTGACCCAACTGAGGTGCTTTTCCAGCATCAAAGTCTACCATCTGTGTTGGTGGCATAGAAACCATCTGCTATATCAAGATAAAATGTTGCAATACAATTATTTTTTGTGTAAGAAAATTTATGAATGTGTTTCTATTTTTTTCAAGAAGGAATGATTTATTTTAAACTTTGAAATCATGCCTCATTATTTTAGAGATTAATTTAAAAAAAAAAAAAAAAAAAATATTACTACTTCAAAGATAATTTTTCATATTTACTTTCTTTAGGTCTATGTACACCAAGACATACTCCTAAAATAATATAGGCCTTATTAGAAGGTTAGAAGCACAAAAAACTCAGCTCTTTTCTGATAGTAAAGGAAAAAATGAAGCTTTGCAAATATTGCAAACATAACTTGCAAATATTGCAAACATAACTTATCAATAATTTTCAGCGATTAGGTAAAAAAAAAATACTAAACCAGAAATCACCAGAAACCTACCTTGTCAGCCCCATGATTTGAATTTAAAAAAGGAGGACAACCTAAAATGGCATACTGAGGGGAAACGATACACTGGGGAACAGGAAACTGTGGGTATCTCTGTCGTACAGAGATGGGGTAGGGTGGGATACACTGCATACTAGGTGGAAAAGGGACTGGTGGTCTTGGGTATGATCCTGGTGGTAAGAGAGGTGGTATACCAGGCGGAGGCTTATCAGTCATTTTGGGAGTAATCACCTATTTGTAAAAAGTAAATAAAGGCATTAGCAAAACACTACCATGACAGGCCTGTTTAATAACATGGTAAAAAAAAAAAAGAGCTGAATTAATTTGAGTTGGCTACTAGAAAAAGGCTGTGAATAAAGCATTTCAATCCATAAGGTTCAATATAAGAAATTTAAAGTTGTTATTTCGGTGTTACAGAATTTAAAGCCAAGTAGCAGTCAATATTCATTACTTAGACTATGTATAATTAAGTAATGCAGCTCAGAATGAGCTTTTAAAATTTTTTTCTACCCCGTTTGGTGCCCCACAAGGGGCAATTTTGAATGATTTCAATTAAGGGGATATGCTATGTTTTTTTTCTATTTTTTACAGTTTAAGATCTAAAGCCTTTTGAATACTTTTATCATATTTGGCATATAAAAGTAAGTATTAAACAGCAAAAAAAAGGGTGGAAAACAATTTTGGTTGTCATGGAAACCCAAAAAACCTCCGCCATTTTGAATTTTTCGGTACTTTTAAAAATACTAAGGCTTTTTTATTTATGCACCTATAGCAATCAAATTTAAACTGCTTATATTTCAGTATATATTAAAACTTTTGTCACGACAACTTTTTGAAATAATTACTAGTAAAAATTTTACAAGGTCTAAAAAATCGTACCCTTTTTAGTATTCAAAAGTTTCAAAATCCGCATATTAATTACCAAATACTTTTTTTCTATAAAAGCAATCATAATTCCCTCGTGACAAAAGTTGTATTTTTGCATCAAGAACAATTACTGAAATATGGTTGGCATTGTTTAATAAATAAAAAAGTAGTAGGCTTTTTAGTGTTAAAAACATGCGAACTGAGATAATAATCATTAAAAAAGTTTTAAAAAACCCACGTTTTCTGATTGAACTAAAAAGTAGAAAATAAATGCTATAGGCCCTACATCACAATAATGCAAGCGATCACTCTACTATAAGCGATGAAAAACGTGGGGCGCCGAAGTAAAATTTATATTACTATTGATTAGATAATACTATTGACTTTTATTAGGGAGCTTGTAGAGAGTCAACAGTATTAGAAACTGTAAGAAAATCACGGCGCCCCACGTTTTTGCTCGCTTATAGTAGAGTGATCGCTTGCATTATTGTGATGTAGGGCCTATAGCATTTATTTTCTACTTTTTAGTTCAATCAGAAAACGTGGGTTTTTTAAAACTTTTTTAATGATTATTATTTTCTACTTTTTAGTCTTTGTCTGTTTGTTTGCATTAAAATCTTGCTATCGATTTTATCTTTTCACTTTTTTTGGGTAAACGAAGACAACTCGTAAAAAGACAACTCGTAAAAAGACAACTCGTAAAAAGACAACTCGTAAAAAGACAACTCGTAAAAAACACGTTGTTTGAATACGTTACTGACTAGAACACATAGATTTGAACCCGTGTCGAGTGGGATAGCAATCGTGTGCCCAACCACTCGACCATATCGTCTCCCCCAAACTGGTCTACCTCCTGTAAGTTTAAACTCGGTTCAAGCTAAATTCTCTGCCCCTAAGCATGTGGCGACATGTGATCGTTCGCTTCACTGCGCGCGAGGTACGCGTCGCTGGTTTTTTTTCTAATGGCTAGCAGAGGAGAATTATATATATAGATTATATAGCGGTCTAAAATGCTCAATAAAATGTTTCCATTGATCAATTTAGTAATAATAACAATTGAATATTCAATGGTCATCCAAAAGAAAGCTTCCCTGAAAATTTCAGCGCGCTAGCTAACTGGGAAGTGCCAGAAATTTCGATCGCAAGATTTGATTGGAAAGACAAACACACAAACAGAGAAAGCAAGTTAAAGAAAACGTGGGAAAAAACAGCCAAAAGTAACGAAAACTAGGTCAGGAAAGTACCATATCTGTGTAAACTGCAAGCCGATTGTAAGCTTTGGGTGTTTCAGAGATGTAGGAAATTAAGTTTATTAGATACATGAGAAATCCAGCTTTCCAATGATGTCAAATACAATATAATGACGGATATAAAACTTTTCATAGAGAGCTTGTAAGATTGGGAAAAATTGATTATTTTTTAATTAATAGGGTCATAAAAATCGTAATTCAAACACATAAAATATTTTTTTCTCTTTAAAGTTATTATTTTCTTTATACAAAAATGGACAAAGTATCCAAAAGTGCAAGAAACCGATCATGACGAAAAACAAGAAAATTTGTGATTTTTTTCCGCGCATATCCCCTTAAGAATAATAAGGATACTAAATCTACTATATAACTATAAAGTAACTCTAGCTAGTAGTCTAATGCCTAACTTAGCTAACTTGCTAGAATTATGATTAGATCTAGAAATCTATCTAGAATCTAGATTTTTTTAGAAGTATAGACTGTAGACCCTAAACCCTAATTGAAAAGAATTGTTAATTTCTAAATTCTAGATCTAGTCTAGATTCAAGGTCATTCTATCTCTTAAATTTAGGTCAATTACATCTAGACTAACTAGATCTAGATCTAACTAATCAAATCAGTACAGAGTTAGAGTAAGCCTAGAAGACTTAGACTGGCTTAGTTAGATCTCTAGTAGCGTTTAGAGAGCTAGATTCTAGAGTAAGCGTTGTCTATCTAGATCTAATCTAGTTCTGGTGACTTGATTCTAGTTTTTAGGTAATCTATCGTTTAAGATACGTAAAATCGCCCACGGCTAGTAATGTACAAAAAAGTTACCTCATTGTCAAGGCTTTAATAGAAGTATATTGTGATATATTTGTGTCAAATATCATAGATAAATGAATAATAACACTAAATCAATGGTTAAATATATCAATATAGGCAAGAAATTAACTTTAAACAGCAGTGTTTGCGAGCAGGATACTATATAAATAGCGGCAATCTGTAAGTTAGAGTGGCTTCCCCTAAATCTTGCGCTATAAGTTTACAATACAAAAAATAAACAAGATGGCTGCTATAGCATGGTTGCATCTGTTGGAAACATCGCTAGTCTTCATTTATTACTGAACAATTTTAATTCAGTGGTTTAAAAACAGGTAGACTTCTATTTAAATGAAACAAGGTAACATTTTTGTATTTTTCAAAACATAAATCCTCCTCACAATGTGAAATAATTATTAAAATTTAAGGAGTCACCTGTTTTTCACATTACTAGGTAGTCGCAGGCGATTTTACGTACCTAAACGATAGATTACATTTTTACAAGTTGTTTTTTTAGTATCGTCGTATCATACTGAAGTAATAGTTAATTTAATTTTAATAATATAGAATTATAGTAATAGACTTTTTAAAAGATGCTAGATCTAGATCTAATTGACATTAGAGTTAGAGACTAGGTAGATCTAGCTAGGGTCTATTAGAAGCTAGATCTAGGGTTGGACTGTTCTAGATTTAGAATCAAAGCGCTGTCCTGGCTAGGCCCTGACTAAGCCCTACCCGCCGGGCTACCCGGCCTACATGCACAGGGCTACTGACACTGTCGAATCATAATCAATGATAATCTAGCAAGGCCTTACGGGTACGTAGGATCTAGCCTAACAGCAAATGATTTATATGTAACAGTATTGATACTTCAACTAAATACTAATTAACCGTAACTTTCTTACACACGGCAATGGCTAAGTTCTATAACAATGGCACATGGGCAAACTCAAAATTTTAAAAGAACTGTTTATGTTAAACAGCAAGGACATGGCCAGATTTTTCCGACTGGCGTGTCAGAATGTTTAAAAAGTCTGATTTCCAACACACACAAAAACAGAACTCTAGGCCTGCCAATATCCATAGAACGAATGAAATAAATTGTTCCAATAAATGTAGATTCTGTTTATGAAGCCATAAAATCGCATTCTATGTTCTTATTCGTTGTTTTTTTTCATCGTTTTAATGTTATCTAGCTATACATGGAGAATTAGTATTGTTGATTTAACTAAGTGTGGTCATCTCATTCTGATGAGTTTTTAATCATCTCATCCTGATGAGTTTTTAATCAAGTTGATGTTGCTAGAATATTTTAATAGTTTATTTTCTGTTATCAATTGGTGGTGTTGTTTTGTTTTTATTTGTTTTCTAGTTTCTTTGTTTTAAATAAAAATTCGATGAAGCTCTAGACCCTATTTAAATCATTATTTTTTGTTGGTGCCACTTATATTTTCTAGATTCAGAAAAAAATTATCAAATGAAAAAGAAATTACCAATCATACACACTGAAGGATTGTTTTAATACAGATTTAAGAAAGTTTATCGCAATATAGAAAAGTTTGTCAAAACAGAATCTTTCAAATGTCACGAACCAGCGAATCAGAACATTTAGATCTATTTGGACTAACGTGTTACAAGTAAAATTCGTGTAGCGCTAAGCTAATAACGAACACACATTTCTCTGCAATATAGCATGCAAAAAAAAACTACCTGAGGTAGTAAAATTGTTTTTTTAATACTGGACTTTTACAAGATAACGTAGAAGAGTAAATAATCAACCCAATACCCAAATACGTTGCATATCATTACAATGTTGAGTTGCTGATTCTGAAGTAATATAAACTTTAATGATCGTAAATAGCTGCGGGCCGTAGAAGCAAGTTGACGGTCACATAATAGACAGCCTCAAATTTACATTGGCGTTTTATCCACAGTGAAAAAAAAACTAATAAAATATTCTTTAAGATATTGTATAGCCCTGCTTAAATACTTTATGAACCAGATAGTTTGAACTCAATTATTGTTTATTAATATCTTTTACTTTTATATCACACAAATAAAAATTGTACGTTGAGGTCTCCCATACACGACGATAGAGGGGGGGGGGGGTTGACTTTTAGGACGATGGGGAGAGGGGGTTCATGCTTTTGTGGCGTTGTTTACATATGCCCGACAGTCGTACTGACAATGTTTATGTTAGGCTGCAAAACACTGGCGGGATCATTATCATAGCAATAACAGAATAGACAGCTTAGCGAGAGTTAAACGCCGATAATGGTGCACGTATTAGGTGCCTTTGATTTTCAGCATTCTTAAATTCTAAATCGCCTTCTAAATTATTTCTTTTGTTAACCAAAGTTAGGATATCTATACATCTATACATCTATACATCTATACATCTATGCATCTATGCATCTATCCATCTATCCATCTATCCATCTATCCATCTATACATCTATACATCTATACATCTATACATCTATATATCTAAATCTATCCATATATCCATATGTATTTATATCCATATGTCCATATGTCCATATATCCATATATCCATATATCCATATATCTATTATATATCTATACAGGGGCGTAGCGAGGGGGGGGGGGCGGGGGGTGCGGACCGCACCGGGTGACACCATTTAGGGGGGTGACACCAAGGCAAAAAATAGCAAAATATATAGAGAAAAACTCGAGGGGGGGGTGCAAATCGAAAGTTTGAGGGGGGGTGCAAATCGAAAACTTGAGGGGGGGTGCAAATCGAAAGCTTGAGGGGGGGGGGGGGGGTGCAAATCGAAAGTTTGAGGGGAGGGGGGTACAAATCGAAAACTCGAGGGGGGGGGGTGCAAATCGAAAGTTTGAGGGGGGGTGTGCAAATCGAAAGTTTGAAAGTTTGTCCCTGGGAAGGGTCTCTATGCCTCTGGGGGGGGGGGGGGGTGACACCATTAAGTGCCGCACCGGGTGACACCCGACCTCGCTACGCCACTGTATCTATATATATCTATTATATATCTATATATATCTATATATATCTATATATATCTATATATATCTATATATATATCTATATATATATATATATATACATAGATAGATAGATATCTATATCTATCTATATATACATATATCTATATATATATCTATATATCTAAATATATGTATATATATTGCATTTTTAAATTTTAACTCGGTGCTAAGTTTTGCCTTTGTTTCTAATGAAGCTGAAAAAAAATAGATTTTTTTTAAATGCTGGTATCTGCTTTACTTTAATTCCTCACATAATAAAATATATTTAGTTTTTGCGTGATAAATGTATCGGGTCTTGTCTGAGAGGTGTGGGGGGGGAGGTGGCGGTAGGGGAGGGTTATTTTTAGGTGTGTTAATAGGGTGTGATCTAGGCTAATATATGGCTCCATCGCTTAAAAGCCCATTGGGTGATTGCGCACTGGATATACAAGCACAGTACAAGGGGAGTAAGAAAAGGAGGGTCAGATGACGCCCAAATATCACACCCCCCCCCACCCCCCACCCCCACACACACACACACAGCTGATGGACCAAAGTGACGGGACGTTAAATACCTGCACACCTAGGCATCCGCTGCGGGGGCTGCTGAAAGGAAACCAGAGTTAATGATCCAATTGGGGGGTGGGGGGAGGGGGGGGGAATGGGGTCAATGGAAAAGTTTAAGAACATGTAGGATATGACTAGATCAAAATGGTGACCGGAAAGATGCGCAACGGAAAACTGCGCACAAAAATGTGCGCACGGGCAATATTTTTTTTTAATCCAGCAATTATAGACATTAACTACATGTACATTGTAGCATAATAAAACATATTGCAACGAAATAAGACAAAATTAAAGTTTATTAGTATAATTATTTTGTATTTGCGCAATTATCTGTTAGCGCCGTTTTCCGTTTGCGCAGATTTCGGATTGCGCATTTTATTTGGAATCCGATCAATACTGTCCGGTGTTCGAGTTAGATAATATGTGCAGTTTCACGTAAGACTGGTGTGGTAGTTTGGATTAAGGTCAAGGTTTGAGGTCAGGGTTAGGACTAGAGTCATGATTAGGTTTATTATCAGGGCTAGCATTAGATTTATAATCGCAAGCTTTAGGTTTATAATCAGGGATATGATTAGGGTAGCAATGTTAGCTAAAATATGCCAATATTGTCAGGGTCAGATTAGATTTATAATCCCAAGCTTTAGGTTTATATTTAGGGATATGATTAGGCTAGCAATGCTAGCTAAAATATGCCAATACATGTTTTAATTATATAAAGTTTTTATTCAAATTTAGCTGTAAGTACAGCGATGGACTAACTAAAAGTGAAAACAAATATTTACGAGTTTCGATTTCCAATCTAGTCGATTTAGCTAAATGAATCAGAAACTCAATCCAAAATTACTTTATAGAAAAGGTTTTCATAAATATTAACAAACTCGAGTTCGAATATGGGTTCAAGCCAGTAGACCGACCCTGAGTCCACCCAGCTCTAATGGGTACCTTACTCAGTTTAGGGAAAGTAAATGCGGCTGGGCATAATGCTGACAACACTATCTCTTCATATGCTGAAGTCACAGAAACAGGTGAACTCTACTTCACTTGGCACATAGACCGTCATGTTTAGAAGGGGAACTTTACTTCACTTACATCGACAACTGCCCCGTGAGGAATTCTACAGATAATAGTTGACCAGACACCATCACCGATGCCAACCTGATACCAGAACGTAGCGGGGGGGGGGGGGGGGGGGGGGGGGGGGGACATATGTCCCCGGGCGCCGACCTTAGGAGGGGCGCCAAATTGAAAGTTTGAGGGGGGTGAAAATGAAAAGTTCGAGGGGGGGGGGGGTGCAAATCGAAAGTTTGTCCCCGGGCGCCGGGAACAGAGTTTCTTCCAGGCATCTCTGGAGCCCCCCCCCCCCCCCCCCCCCCTCCCCCCCCCGAAATTTTTTTTACCGCCCCCCCCCCCCCCCCCCCCCCCCCTCGAACCAAATGAAATTTATGTAATTTATATAGAAAATATATACTTTTAACAGTGTCCGCCCCCCCCCCCGAAGAAAGTTTACCGCCCCCCCCCCCCCCCCCCCGAAAATTTCAAGTGCCCCTCCGGAGAAAAAAGTCTGGAATAAACACTGGCCGGGAAGGGTCTCTACGCCTCTGCCTAATACAAAGCAAACGCCGGGGCGACAGTCGAGAAGAGGAAGAAATAAGAATGGAAGGTGGGGCTGACCCAAATTTGATAGAAGGTAGAGAATTAAATCTTTTACTTACATGTGAAATTTCATTTAATCTATCTGAAATAGTACTCAAGTTATAGGCTTTTGAAAAATTCAAAGTAGAAAAAAGTACCACTTCCGGTTATCGGAAATCACTAAAAAGTTGATACGGATCTACGATTTTGTTAAAGTACTTATATATGAAATGTCATCAACCTAGCTATAACGGTACTCAAGATATCGTGTTTACACACACACAGACACAGACATACGGACAAGATTGCAAATTACGTTTTTCCGTATCAGTGAGGTGTAAAACTTCATGAGTTAGGTACCCATCAGCGACGTTCTACTGACTTTGACCCGGATTTCGAACTCGAGACCTCCGTGTCAGCAGCCTAGCGCTCTACCGCTTAGACCACGCCGTCCAGACAGGTTTCATTACACATTGAAACAGATGGGGGAATATGGTTCAAGATAGAGACGTTTAAAATATGTGTTTGGCAGCCCATATACAAGCATGAGTGACGAGCTATAAATATGGTGATGAATTACCTGATAATACCGCGTTTAAGCCCTTATTAAGTTATTAAATTTAGCGAGTCCAACGCATGCAGTTTAGGCTTAATAGAACGCAGTAGCGATATTGATGCT